GCCTCGAGTCCAGTGCTGTACACTGACTTCATTCCGTCAACATCAGGGAGCCTCGAGTCCAGTGCTGTACACTGACTTCATTCCGTCAACATGTGTGACAAGCGGTAAATTAAGGTTTTGTTCACTTCGTTCCTTTAACAACTACAGGGTGGCAGTGGAGGTTTTAACAATCCTTTTATCGACAGCAATTTCAGGCTTTCATTAAAGGAACCACCAGTATGATCAACGTTGAGGTTGGGGTGGAGTAGACTAGCACAATTCAGGTAGAATTTGAAGGATAATGTATTTTCGTTGAAATGTTTTGGCTTTTTAACACTTTTTCACTTGCGCACCAGTTCTCTTCCCATAGTGACAGCCTCTGTGAAACATGTTGTATTCACTATTCTTAATTGCAGTTTTTGTATTATTCCATAACTTTTTGTATTTGCTTTACTGCAATTTCAGTTTCGAAATGTTTGGCTCACTGGCAGCACGACAAATTGTGGGTTCAAGCCATCTCCAGAATTTAAGTACTTTACTTAACATTAGATTGATTTTTCAGAGATAGTAGGAACTGCTGGATGCTGGAGTTTGAGATAACAAGGTGTAGAGCTGGGTGAACACAGCAGGCCAGGCAGCATCAGGGGAGCAGGAAAGCTGACGTTTTGGGTCTGGACCCTTCTTCAGAAATGGGGGAGGGGAAGGGGGCTGTGAAATAAATAGAGAGAGGGGGAGGTGATGATAGGTGGAGAGAAGATGGACAGGTCAAGGAGTCTATCCACCTTCTTATTTCAGAGCCCCCTTTTCCCCCCCACCCCCCAATTTCTGAAGAAGGGTCCAGACCCAAAACGTCAGCTTTCCTGCTCCCCTGATGCTGCCTGGCCTGCTGTGTTCATCCAGCGCTACAGATTGATATTTCAGATGCTTTTGGCTGGTTTGCCTGAAGGTCTTTTTGCTCTTGGATACTGTAGCACTGGAGCAACCAACTCTTCTGACCCCTGACCACATTTCCCCTACCCCTGAAATACTGCAGACTGTATGCTTTGATCCTGGAGTGGAACTTCAACTTACAATCCTTTAACTGGGGTAAGAATGTTACTGCTGAAACAGAGCAGATACTCACAGAATCAGAGTTGTACAGCACAGAAACAGACCCTTTGATTCAACTCGCCTATGCCGACCAGATATTCTAAACTGATCTAATCCGATTTACCTGCATTTGGCCCATATCCCCCAAACCCTCCTATTCATGTAACCGTGCAGATTCCTTTTAAATGTAATTGTGCCAGCCTTCTACACTTCCAATGGCAGCTCATTCCATATATGCACTACCATCTGTGTGGAAAAGGTTGTCCCTTAGGTCCGTTTTGAATCTTTCCCCTCTCTCGTTAAACCTATGCCCCCTAGTTTTGGACTCCCCTACCCTGGGGAAAAAGTCCTTGGCTATTCACCTATCCATGTCCCTCATGATTTTAAAACCTCTGTCAGGTCACCCCTGAAAGCTGCCACCCAGGTGGATAGAGTGGTTAAGAAGGCGTATGGTGTGTTAGCTTTCATTAACAGAGGGATCGAGTTCAAGAGTCGTGAAGTTATGTTCCAGCTATACAAAAGCCTGGTTCGGCCACATCTGGAGTATTGTGTCCAGTTCTGGTCGCCTCATTACAGGAAAGATGTGGAGGCATTGGAAAAGGTGCAGAGGAGATTTACCAGGATGTTGCCTGGAATGGAGGGAAGGTCTTACAAGGAAAGTTTGAGTGTGCTAGGGCTTTTCTCTTTAGAACGACGAAGGGTGAGAGGTGTACAAAATGATCAGAGGTATAGATAGAGTGGACAGCCAGAGATTTTTTTTCCGAGGGTGGAGGTAGCTATTACGACGGGGCATAGTTTTAAAGTGAGTGGAGGTAGATACAAGGGAGACGTCAGAGGCAGGTTCTTTACTCAGTGGTAGGGGCGTGGAATGCATTGCCGGAGAGGCTAGTGGAGTCGGCCTCATTGGTTGCTTAAATGCCCCTATTAGATAGGCATATGGATGATAGTATAAAGTAGGGGTGGAGGTTAGATAGACTTTAGGATTAGGGTAAAAGTTCGGCACAACATCATGAGCTGAAGGGCCTGTACTGTTCTATCAGCCTCCAATGCTCTGGAAAAATAGCCCTCAGGAGTTGAACATCTTCTGATCAGGCAGTCCTGGAGAATCAAATCACTTGCTTCCACTCTGGCCCAGTGGATCCTGAGGTGGCTGAGTCCAGGATCCGGTCTGCAGACACTATCCCACATGGGGCAGCTGGTGCTCTGAAGGGTTGGTTATATGGTTTGATTGTGTTCGCACTAATGCCTCATCTCTGTACTTTCTCAACAAAGTCTCTTGATTAAATCGTTGCTACTCAGTAAACTTTGACCTTAATCTCGTATTTGAGATCCTGGTCCACAAAATAAGTCTCTTCTGCCACAGCTAGAGCAGGGCTGGTATATTGAAGGTCATGATGAATTGCTTCATCTTCTCTACTTTTGCTTTTTTTAAAAAATATGTTCCTGAGGTATGGGAAATGGCTCATGTTTTCCAGTTACTTGTCTTGATCTTAATCGGGGTAGGTGTTGTGCTATGGGAGCTGAGTGTAAGAGATTATTTAGTGAAAAGCCCAATTTTCTCGCTTCCTTTGGAGAAGCAGTCACTGATGACCTGAAGCTAAGTTTCCAAGTGAGCAAACCTATAACTGTCAAACATAAAACAAAGAACCACGGATGCTGGAAATCTGAAAGAAAAACAGAATTTGCTGCAGAAACTCAGCAGATGAAATGAAAATCAATGGAGTTCTGAATAGCAAGGCAGATTTGTCAAAAGATACAGCAGGATATAGATCAGTTGGAAAGTTGGGCAGAGAAACGGATTCAATCCCAGACTGATGTGTGATATTGCACTTTGGGAGGTCAAATGCAAAAGGAAAGTATACAGTAAATGGCAGGATGTTTTTAAGACCATTGATTTGCAGAGGGATCTTGAGATGCAAGTCTGTATCTCCATGAAAGTGGCAACACAAAACAGTGGTAAAGAAGGCATATGGCATGTTTGCTTTCATCATTCGGGGCTTCTGGTATAAAAGTTGGCAAGTTGTATTGCAGCTGTAGAAAATTTCAGTTAGGCCTCATTTGGAGGATTGTGTGCAGTTCTGGTTATCGAGCTGTAGGGAAGATGCAGAGGCTTTGGAGAGGATGCAAAAGAGGTTTACCAGGATGTTGCCTGGATTGGAGTGTATTAGCTAGAAGGACAAGTTGGACAAACTTGGATTGTTTTTTCTAAAAGTGTTGGAGACTGAGGGGTGTCCTGATTGAAGTACAAAAAAAATCGAGTTGTGGATAGTCAGTCTTCAGTTGACTGTCCACAGTCATCTTCCATGCCTTCAGTTGCTGTGGTCCTAGATATTTTCTAATTAGCCTGTTCAGAGTTGCTATAGCATACCTCTGGAGCAGGTAGAACTTGAACCCAGGCCTTCTGGCTCAGAGGTAGGGACACTGTCACTGCACTGCAATAACCTTAAGCTTTGGCATTCTTTCCTAGACTCTTACTTTTTTTTTAAACTTAGTACTTTGACCAACTTTTTGGTCATCTGTCCTATGTCTCAATTGCAGCTTGCAGTCTCTGAAAGGCCTTGGGATGCTTTATTGTATTAAGAGTTTTATAAATGCAAGTTGTTGATTGGAATATAACTAGACCAATTGCAGAACTGTTCATAATTTAGGTGCAATGGTGATAGGATTTTACCAGCATAATGTATTTCTAGTTTTGAAAGAGTAACAGTTTTGAATTAAAAACTGTTTTATCTTTTGACCAAAGCCAAAAGATGCATTGCCTAGACAGTTGATTGCAATGTGAGCAAAACTTTAGCTAAATCCATAATTCTGTAGAAATTGTTTAACTTGATTGTAAAATGTTGGCTAAGAGCCACTATTAGCATTTAAGTACGTCCTGTTATGTCATCATCAACATTTCATAGAGTAATATGCAGAAGACTTCTCTCCATGCTATCTGCAAAGTGGCTAAATAAAATTTAATGGCATATTTTACACAGAATTTTATTGCCCTAATCTGACGTTCACTTTGGTAACCTGATCCACAGCGATCACCTGATAAGTTGAATATTTTCAATGTATGAGTTTCTTTTGTCCCTCCCTTCTGAAGTTTACACAATATGAGGAAGCAGGTTAGGTTACTTAATAAAAATATGGATTTCCTTGTTCATTGGTTTAATATTCATATTCACATGCAAAATTTATTCCTCCTTAGTCTTGGCTGTTTTCTCATAAATCCAATGCATTATGGAACTTTTAACACTGTAACCTTCTGTATGTGCTTCTAGACTCAAAAATGCTTAATTCTGTCTTGTATTAAATCAAAGAATGAAGCTGGAGGGGTCAGAATAGGTGACTTTAAATAACTTAGATGGAGACAACAACTTAAGTGCCAATGTTTAGCACACTATATTTCATTCTCTGACTAGAATCAGCTGATTCCAGCCACAAACACAGATTAACTCAAATGAAAGCAAAATGCTAGGAATCTAAAATCAAAACCAAAATGCTGGAAAAATTCAGTAGATTTGGCAGAATCAGCAGAATTTTGAATATAAGCTGACTTTTTTTATTGAATTCAAGAATTGAGAGTCTAATGATGACCATAAAACTTGTCGATTGTTGAAAAATCCATCTGGTTCATTAATATCCTTCGGGGAAGGAGATCTGCCATCCTTACCTGGTCTGGCCTACATGTGACTCCAGACCAACAGCAATGTGGTTGACTCTTAAATGCCCTCTGGGCAGTCGGCAATGGACAATAAATGCTGGCCTTGCCATCATCCCCTGAATAGATTTTAAATTAGGCATTCTTGAGTTAACAAAATGTGAGTTTATTTGCTACTAAATGTGATTAAAAATTAACAATGCAACATACCTAGAGAATAAAGAGGTGAGTTTAAAGAGTTATGTAGACTAGTGTCTAAATTTAAATGTAGGCAAAGAAAGTAAGAGCAAGAGTAGGCTAATTCAGTCCTTTTGAGCTTGCTCTGCCATTCAATACGATCATTGCTGTTCATCTAACTCAGTGCCCTGTGCCCTCTTTCTCCCTATATCC